CCCCTCCCTTCCCCCGAGAAAGGTCACTGGAGCTGCTCGGGGGCTGAGCTCAGTTGTTAAGGAGCCGACGCTACCAGATACCAGCCGTGTTCTCCAGGACTAGAGGGCCCAGCATAACCCCCTGAGTGTCGTGTCTTGTCATCGTACACACACACGGAGCACAGAGCCTCTCTCTGACTGCCTCCATGCGACGCCCGGCCCCGGCCCTCCACTCTTATTAATTGTTTAGCGCGGTTGTCACACTCTTATTAATTGGGTGACGCGGTTGTCATCAATTTTGTGACACGGGTGTCACACTAATAGATGGTGTGACACGGTCGTTACACTTTTTTGATGCGTGACACGACTGTCGACCACTTTTCTGCGCGTGCGTGGGGCGTATGGTATTGGCTGCTGTGTCTGTAACGCTGAACGTCATGATATGACGTTTGTCACACACTTTAAAGTGTTTGCAACGCACTACACATGTTTGTTTTTATGATACCGTAGAGCAGGCGCGTGAGCACGCGTGAGCAGGCCTGTGGTGATGTCGGCGCATAAATCGCTTCGCAGCCCGCAGCCGTGATAATATCACTTTTGGTTCAGCAGACGGCGGAAGGCGGGAGGCCCGGCGCGGAGCGCGGAGAGGATCGTGTGAGGCTGCGTGATGATATATCGACAGTCTGTTAGGCGCGTGATAAAAGCGCCCTTCCGAGAGAGAGAGAGAGAGAGAGAGAGAGAGAGAGAGAGAGAGAGAGAGAGAGAGAGAGAGAGCGAGAGAGAGATGGGGGGGAGGCGAATAGTCAAGAGCGAAACTTCCATTATTTACCGGCGGCCGCGTTGTAGCGGGACGCGGTCAGGATGAGAACAAGTCAGCGGCGGCGCGCTTCGCACCGGCCCGCCAGTCTGCTGGTATGTATACGGCCTCGGCGAGTCCAGTTCGGCCCCTCCAGCACCGGCCGGTTTCCCCTGAATATGCATGTCTCGGCCTATGGACCTTACACTCGCGCGTGCGGGACTTTGTGACCATAGGGCCGCCGGTTGAAGTTTTCAAAACACTGACATATTGTGTATCACAACAGTGTCTGGACAACAACGACAACGATGCTAAACATGCCCACTTTATAGTGAAAGTGTGAATATAGTACGTAACGTTTTTTGTAGCTTATCCTGCTCATTGCTTAATGGTCACACCCTCCCTCCTATGCTGGTAGGGTGCGGTGGTGGTCGGGTGGCCCCTTCCAGTCCAGTTGTGCCCCTTGTGTCTCTCGCGGTCAGTCGTACTACCGACCCCTGCCCCACTCAGCGAGGCCGCGCTGCCCCGCCCCGTCCCCCGTCCCGCCTACACCCTCTAATTCCCGCTGTTGTACTACTTTCCGTCCTAACCGCCTCGGACACTACTGTCCCGCACTCCACTGCCGACGACGAGACCGGTGGACTCGTGGCGGGGCGGGGCGCGGTGGCTTTCGGAAGTGGCCCCACCACCTCCACCGCCGCGCCCGCCCGAGCTCGGGTCCACCCGGGCTAATCATCGGTCCTGCCCCCCAACCCGTAGCCTCACCCCGCCCCGCCCGCCCCGCCCCGCAGTAGTACCGCACCGCCCGATCGGCCAGGGATCGTGTTTATTTGCACTAAGTTGGACAGTCTGACCGGAGGAGGAGGAGGAGGGAGGGAGTGTGAAGTAGTTGACTCGCCGCGTTAATCAAAACGAGAGAGTCCTTGCGCGGGCGCGGGGGACCGTCCGTCAGCTAGCTGCGTCACAATACATAACATATATACGGACGGTCCCCATCCATGTGCAAGAGCTGCTGAGAGGGGGCCCCGTCGTCGCGGCCCCAATATGCGGGGAACACGACGTACACGACACGACGGGGTCCTCCCCCCCCCCCTCCCTTCACCCCTCACCATACCACCGCGAAGCACCACGTGCGACATCGCCCACAGCCTCCGAGTAATCATCACATATGCAATGGTGACCTCCCGCCCCTCTGCTCCCCTTTCTCTGTCTACCTCTGTCTCTCTCTTTCTCTCCCTATCTCTGTCTCTCTTTGTATTTCTCTTCTACACCAGGTGGCTGATTAACCTAGACTGTACCGTCTTGTAAAGGTTTTCCTGTGCATACTTTTTTTCCTTCTTCCTTCCTTCCTGCCTTTCCTGGAAAGGTCCTATGCAGAAGTGCAGTCACGACGACGACGGCGGCGGCCCGTTCCCCCCGGCGGCCCTACTTTTGTCCTACCAGTAGAAAGTGGGCGGGACGGGGGCGGCGCGGGTCCTCACATGTGGCGCCCCGGCTCCCCAAGGGGCGCGCCAGTGAGGCAAGCGCCACCAGTTGCAACCCTCCTCTCTCTCTCTCTCTCTCTCTCTCTCTCTCTCTCTGTCCCTCTCTCTCTCTTCCTCTCTCTCCCTCTCTTCCTCTCTTCCTCTCTTCCTCTCTCCCTCTCTCTCCTGTTTTCCCCATGTCCCCCCAAGGCGTTGACTGATTGGCCCCCTCCCACGGTGACCATCCGGTCGCCGAGGATATCGCCCGAAGCGAGGGGGAGGAGGAGTGGGGATTATTTACTTAACCCCCAGACGGGAGAGGAAGTGAAAAAAAAAGAGTCCAAGGATCCTAGTGAATAATTTATGGGGTTTAAAAAAAAAATCCCCATTGGCTGCAGAGAGCAAAGTATGGAAAGAGCGGAAGGGCAACCGCCTGCAAATCTGCATCGATCATCTCTCATCTCTTGAGATTGGGATTGCTGCCGGTGCTTGGTCTGCGTTTTACCGCCCACCCCTCCTCCCCCGCCCCGCACGCGATGCCACGCGCCGCTTACGCCCTCCTCTTGTCCTCCCGGACGTCCCCCCTTTGTGAGGGTTCCTGCTCTCTGCCTCGTCGTGCTCTTCATCCCCCGCGCGCGTCATCCGCCTCTTCGTCTCCGCTCTCTGATTACCGCGCCGAACCGCGATTTTTCGCCGTTGATAGCGGTACAGTATGCCCACTACACTACGCACACTGCAAAACACTTCACACTTTTCTAAGATTTTGATCATAGCCGTTTTCGTTTGGTTCGATACCATAAAGTGTATAACATTTGCATCCTTCAATGAACTGCTCATCATTTGGTGTGCAACTTTCCATACATTTGTCTTGCCAGTTAGTAGGCACAGTTCGCCAAAAATGTAAAAAGAAGGATTTTGTTTCCTGTGTGTGTATCCCACGCACAGCCGCACAGCTGCATGCAACCTCCCCCCTGACAAGGCTGCTGCCGCCGGGTCGTATGGGGATCCTCGCGGGGCTCGCGAGAGTATGCTGAGCCTCGCGGAGTGGGGCCTGGGCTGGCCTACTCGGGGTGCGATGAGTGCGAGCGATACCGCATGAATATCGGCTGGGACCCCTCGGCGCCGCGCCCCGCACCCTGTGCCCCGCACCCTGCACCTCCTCACACCCTGCGTCTTACGCCCCACACCCTGCGTGTCCTCCTGGCCCACCGCGCACGACAGCTGCAGCAGCACCAGCAGCGCAAGGCCGTGGAGGTGGTGTCGGCTGCGCCTTTTCTCATGCGCGATGTGGGCAAGAAAAGTAGCACAGACACCTCCCTCCCCCCTCCCCCATCCCGACCAGGTCGCCAACAACAGGTGCTGTAAAGCAGAAACAGCGCGGCGGAAAGTAGCAGCAGCAGCAGTACCGCTGCCACTCCAACGGGGAGGATGGGGTGCCCAGCGACAGCGAAGTGCGAATATGCTGGCGTGGTGGTGGGTTTGTCCTCGCTTTGCCCGCCACCACCCCGAGCCGGGGAGGGAAGGGGTCGCGCGCGGCACAGGGGCTCGCGGAGTGCCACTCTTGCCGGCCACAAAAAATGTTTATAGAGGGAAGCCCCCGGGCGGTGCGGAGGGAGCGCGGGCGGCGCGGCCTTCCCACATACCGCAGCTGCGTGTTAATCTTCTCAGTAGCAACCTGCGGCGACGTGCGGGGCGGGAGGGGAGATGCGCGCGGGAGTGGCGGTGGAGGGACGGGAAATGTAGATGAGTGCCGCATGCTGCTGAGTGTGGGGGGGGATGAGGCGGGGAGTGGTGTGCGAGGCGCCTCGCTGAGGGGAGTGGGAGCAGGCCGATGCAGCTGCCCGCGGCTACTGAAACGGCCCCTTTTCCTCTTCCTCTCTCTCCCTCCCTCTCTCTTTTGTCGTCCAATTTTTTTATTATTATTTTTATTAATTTTTTTGCTCTTGTTTCTGTTCTTCACTTTTTCGTACCCATGAACCGAAGAGCGTCACTGACCTACCTCATGCCGGCTCAATAGGGACTCCCCCCAACCCCAACCAACGGCGGCCCGCCTCCCCCAAATCAGAAGTTGTTTGTTGCATCTCGTAAAGTGTTTTCGCTGGCGAAGGGGAGAGCCGTTGGGCCCGGGGGGGAGCTCACCTCGCCCCTCGCCGCGCTCGGCAGATCCCGCGCACGGCAGGCTCCGCAGCGACGGCCTAAGCCCCGCGTAGCCCACCCGCACCCGCGTGCGCCGGCCAGCCGCCCTCTAGCCGGGCGCACACCTGCCAGCCCGACGGCTAGGCCTGGCCACGGGGAGTCCACGTGGAGCCCACGTGAACCGAAGTTTAGCGAGCGCGCCAATCGATGAGACGGAAGGGAGGGGAGGGGGGGGGGGTGCTGTAGCCGACGTTGAAGCAATAAGGGAAATCATTTCCTCGGATACAGGGAACAGAACGTCAGTAATAAGCTCTGATTTTTTACTCCACCCGCCAGGTGTTTGACTGCCGGTCCGTGAGCACGACGACGGGAATGTTCGAGGCGCTGTGCAACCACATCAAGTACAGCACCAACAAGGGAAACATCCGGTGAGTAGCAATCTCCTCTCTGCAGCGGTGCTGCGCCCCGCCGGAGGGGCGGGCCCGTCTGCCGAGTTGTCGCCCGGCCGCCAGGGAGGTAGCCCCCCTCCTCCACCCACCCTTCCTCCCTCCGCGGCTGGCTGGCCTAGGCAACCCACCGCAGAACTACCCCCATCCAGAACATTCCAAGGTGGCCATGCGCGTGCGGCCAGGTCTGACCCTTTGGTCCGGCTAGACATTCCTTCCTCTCAGCGCTCCAGCAGTCGGCCGCTGGACGCTGCCATGAGAAAAGTAGTATTGTCTCACTATGTCTTACATTAAGTTTAAAGTGGAGGTCCCGGGTTCGTCCCTTTACTACAAAGAAAGTTATTTTTTCATGAATGAAAAAACTTGCCTTGGACACAGTTAACAAACACCAGTACATGGAATTTTTTTCCAGCCAGCTGTGTGTTCTTTTTTTGAAATCTGAAGCAAGAAATTGTCTCGAACAAAAAATTGCTGCAAACAAGATAACTGATGCAAACTAGAAATTGTTTCAACCAATTTTCTTATTGCATGCACGCGTGCAGTCGGTTTATGGGTTTATATCGGACACAATTTCTTCAATACACACAATGGGTATGGGGGCCGGCCGTTTGCGCCTCTCATAAATATGAAGTGCAGCAGCACCACAAGCACACTCGGCACGCCACTACTGTGTATGATAATGCGGACCGAAGGACAAGTCTCCTCCTCGTCGCGTCAGTTTGTTGTGATTCGCCTCTCTTTTTGTCTCGCCGACAGCTCGGCGCTCACGCTGTTCCCGCAGCGCACGGACGGCAGACACGACTTTCGCATCTGGAATGCGCAGCTCATCTCGTACGCCGGCTACAAGAACCCCGACGGCACCATCCTGGGCGACCCAATGAACGTCGAGTTTACTGAGGTCAGTGAAGTGGGCGCACCCTTGTTGTATCAAAATGGAAAAGCGCGTTTTTTGAAAATTTTCTAAACGGAAAATTATACTACTCAAAATTTTCTAAAAAACAACCACCTTGTTATTTTGAGACTTTTGTCACAAAACTGGACACAAAATGTAAGCATTTTTGAAACTCCACACATGGTGCTGTGCTGACTTTTACCTCTATCAGGTGTGCATCAAACTTGGCTGGAAGCCCAAGATGACCCGGTTCGACATCCTGCCCCTGGTGCTGTCCGCAAACGGGCACGACCCGGACTACTTCGACCTGCCGCCCGACCTCGTCATGGAGGTCGAGCTCAGCCACCCCACGTGAGTACCGACCCGAACCCGTACGACGACCCGCGCTCGACCTCGGCCACGTGGTCTTCCCACGCAGCTCGCCGGCAACGTCGGCCTCCTTTTTATTCTTTATTTATTTTTCGCACATCGTGAAGGGGCCATGAATATGGAGATTGTGGCTCCGCGTTAATACCATCCCTTTATACCCGAACGCGAAGCCAAAGGGGAATGTCCGTCTAGAGGACTGTGCGAGAGAGAGAGAAAGAGAGAGAGCGCGCTCTGAAACCCGATGCCGTCTCTCTCCATCGCAGGTACAAGTGGTTCTCTGACCTGGGGCTCCGCTGGTACGTTCTGCCCGCCGTGTCATCCATGCTGTTCGACGTCGGCGGCGTCGAGTTCCCCGGAGCGCCCTTCAACGGCTGGTACATGAGCACCGAGATCGGCTGCCGCAACTTGTCCGACATCAAGAGGTACAACATGTTGGAGGTAAGCGGGGCAGAAGGGGAGGGGGATTGTGTTTTGACCTACTCCGCGGCATACGCTTACGGTAAAAGCAATGTCTGATTTATTGAGCAAAAGGGGGAAATTTCGAGGAGATCTTACATTTGAGGGAAAACTCAAAAATAAAAACACATATGTTTTTACCGTGGCCACGTGGCTAGCTAAGCGATAGCGGCATCGTCGCACGGACAGGCCATATGGTTGGTGGCGATGCGATAGGCACCAGATTGTCAAAACAAACAAACAAACAAACAAACAAACAAACAAACAAATAATGAGAGAAAAAGCACACACAAGACAAAATGACTCGACGATCACCCCCCCACCCCCTCCTTTTCCCTCTTCCAGACGGTGGCGCAGCGGATGGGCCTGGACACGCGGACGCCCATCACGCTGTGGAAGGACCGCGCCCTGGTCGAGATCAACGTGGCCGTGCTGCACAGCTTCCAGAGCCGCAACGTGACCATCGTGGACCACCACACGGCGGCCGAGAGCTTCATGAAGCACTACGAGAACGAGAACAGGCTGCGCAACGGCTGCCCCGCCGACTGGGTGTGGATCGTGCCGCCCATGTCCGGGTCGGTGACGCCCGTCTTCCACCAGGAGATGGCCCTCTACGTGCTCAAGCCGTCTTACGAGTATCAGGTCGGATCATGTTCAGATGTGGTACTAATATTTTCCACCGAAGAACTTTCAGCTTTTCTAAATTAGTTTATTTTTTGCCTGAATATTTTCCCTTGGAAGTTTTTCTCCTAAAAATGTTGTTTTTCCTAGATTTTTAAAAATGTTTTTTTCCTATGTTTTTTTT